GGAAGGGGGCAGGAGGGGAGAGGTGTTCGTCCCGGAGAAGCAGCCTACTTGTGCCTGCGGGTGCTCGAGAGCCAGGGCCCTGTTTTGCTGGCAAAACCGTCGTTTCACCCAGTTGCTGCCCCGCGGAGAACACTAAATCGAGGAGCCTCGGCCAAAATGCTTCTTTTTCCCCACGACTTTCAATGTGGGTTTTAAGGGGATTAAATCTGATGCAATCAGGGGTCTAAGAATAGCATCGTCCACGTTTCCTAGCATGTGCAGAGTGCTCTGATCGTTGCATGCGTTCCTGCACACGGGCAGTTGTGGAGGTGCTACTCTGCAGTGGGGCACCTGGTGTTCCCCGCGGTTGCAGGCAGCGAGGCTCGCTCTTCCAGGAAGCCCCTCGACGCTGGTGAGAGGAGCGGTAGCAGAGTCCGCTGGGGGAGAGGCTGAGCAGTCATAGCTCGGATTTAAATTGGTATGTGATACCCTAACCGGGAGGAATTAGCTTGCTTTATTTGCAGGAAAGTATGAACCTGAGTAATTTGCAGCTGTGGAAGACAGCAAGTCTGAGCTTATTCTTCATTAACTGGCAAACTGCTCCATTGGTGTTTCTGCGATAGTGTACCTGGAGAATGTTGCATATAAAATAAGGTGCTTGTTCACATAGCCAAATAAAGCTATAAACATTTTGTAGTTTAATTTAAATTGTGCCAAAAATATTTTGTTATTGTTGGACGCAGGGCTTCAATCTGACAATCTCAGTCTTCCAAAAATGATTTCATTCTTCCTAAATTTAAGTTTTTCTATTTGAAATGCTACTTCTGTTTATTTTAATAGTTACTCAGTCTCATTCTGTCGTTGCTTTTCCTATAGTTTCACTGGTTTCCTATTTATCACTCCACTCATTGGATTTCTCACTCACTTCTGGATGGGAAGAAGTCTGTGACTATCAAAATGGAAGCAGAACACCCTTCTGTTCTTTTAATACATGACAAAAAGTTAGGCTTACTGCTTTAAATAATGATTGAATTAAATTTATTCCTAATTGCGTAGTCACTAAAAATGAAATCGGGATGAGTGATGGCCTTGTAAAAAGGGTTAATCTACATTAGAATTAGAAGTTAGTGGTTGAATATGGAAAGCCTGTGCAGTTTGCAACTCTTACTCCTCTCAGAAAATGAGTATTTTCTGGAAGTGGAGTGGGCATCAGGCAGCATCATTAATCTTTACAGATGTAGTACCATTATTAGCATCTCTCTTACCTCTGGGGCACGTAGTTATCTTCAATTTCCAGACACAAGTTTTATCTTGTATCAAATTCTGGCTCTGCAGTGTAGCTGTTGAGCAGCGCTGTGCTGTTTATTAGGTGCCAGCCTGCCTTAAATCTCTGGTAAATGTATGAGGGAGAGATACTTCCTGGCTCTGAGCAAGGAGTGAGAGCAAGCACCATGTTACTTGAGATATTTTTTTCCTTTGGTAGAACAATTGTAAGGATTCAGGGAGGCATACAGTTTACTGATTTTATGATATGTGTGTTCCATTTGCCTAAAGAATCATTATGCAGCTGTGGTGAAATTACTTCTAATGATGATTATATTTTCTTCTGCTTTATTCTCTGCAATCCAGACATCGTTAATCTAGGCTGTGAATTTTATAGCTGGATAAGAGCCTGAAGGCGTATTAGTACCTGGACGTGGCCAGTTCTGTTGTCCTAGAGCCAGACTGAAGAGAGGGAAGAAGATTCGCTTGCTTCAGAATATCCCCCCCCCCCTTTTTTTTTTTTTCTCTTCCCCTTTTGGATCAGGTCTTGAAGCATAGGGTGAAGGTTTCTCTTCACGGTGCATGGACGGAAAGCCAATGCGCAGGTAAGATACGAAAAACAATTGTCTTTCTTTTACCCACATATGGTAAATCATGTGAGTTGGTTTCATAAGTGCCTAGACCATAAAATGTTGTTTGTTTGGGTTTTTGGTTTTTTTTTTTTGTTTTTTTTAAAGGCCTGGTTAGGAGAATTAGAATATAAAGCATTCATCTTTAGTCTGTACTTAAATGTTTTTAGTTTTCAATGTTTACAAGACCAGATGTCTTTAAATGAATATGCTTTCAGGAAGACTACGGAAGACAAGTTATCATAATTCTCCATCCCCCCTCCCTACTTTTCCCATTAACTATCATATTTAAAATCCAGTATTTAATTACTTAGGTATTCAAATTGTGTGAAATAAACTGCCTAGGAATAAATTTAAACTTGATTTCTAAGGGGCATTATTTTTCCCTTAACTAAGAGTTCAGTCCCTTTGATAGAGTGAGGTCTTGGGTGAAAAGGAGGTTTCCTTTTCTAATGGTTCAGTTCTAATGAGCTGAAGATGCAGCTGAAGTTTAATTCAGGGGAGTTCTTGCTGTGGTTATGTCAGAAACATTATCTGTTATATAGAGAAAAAATTGTGACAGTAAATCAGCATAATGACACGTTGACAAACAGGATTGTCTGCTAGTTCTAGTTAGTTTTCACTATCTGATGGCAATCCCATGGTAAAACTTAACAGCAGATACGTTTCTGTATGTGGTACAGGCTGTGTGGAAGCAAAGTTTCCTGAAGTTCTACAGCTCTAAATGAAGTAAAGAGAACTCATGCAAATTGCTTTGTCTGTCTGCACTCTTCAGGATGTTGAAAGTAGGGAAACTTTTATTATGGATAATTCTCTTAACAGTCATGTAAGAGAAGGCAAGGAATTTTAAGCATAGATGAGTATGTAGAGCATTTCTAGCTACAGCATTTGCAGAAACCATTAGCCTGGGTTCTGTGTGGTGGACGGAGGTAAGAAATAAAGTCATTTAAACCCTGAAGAGTGACACTATATTGTTTAATTAAATGAACCCCCCAAGCGCAACAAAAAAAGGCTGTGCCGCTGCTTCAGTTAAGCTCATGAGTAAACCTTGGGACACGATACTGGCATCACTGGGGCTATGTATTGTTCAATATTTTTGCCAAGATAAGAAATGTGGTTTAGACAATGACGAGCTGTATGTTACTTTTACAGTGAGTTCCTTTTTCTCCAAGACAGATAAGTAGCAGACGAGCTCTCTTCCATCTTAGTCTTGCACAGTTGAGACTGTTTAAATCTTAACCAACATAAAACCACAGCTTTTCAGGTTCTTATGTTGCACTCCATTTATCAAAATGTTTTTGCAGAATGACATAAAATTGGTGACTAGTTTGGCTTGTGTTCTTGTTTTCTCTCTACTTTATTTTTTTGTGTTCCTAATAGAAAAATTGAGGTTTTAAATTTATTTTTATGTCTGCTGTCTGCTGCATGTCGCATTGAGGCAGAGAATTAAAGTGCTGAAGTTCGTATGTCTTTTGTGGGTTTGTGGCCTTGGAATTGCTATGATGGAAGTTCTGTCTGCCACTCAAACTGGGTAGTTTTAGCAGTGGGCAACAGCACTGGGCTGAGGAAGTAGAGGTTTTCTATTGTGGTGCTGATCCTGGCACTTCAGGCGTTTTCTTTTTTTTTTTTTTAATTTGGATAATGGATACAGACCAGACCTTTCAGTACCTTTTGTTTTCTCTCCCTCTCTGACAAGCCAGGGTAGAGCATGGATAACACGTTTGACATATTTACGTGGCTTTACTTTTGAACTAACCTTTCAGCTGATCTCTGTGCCTAGATGTCTTGTATTGCTGCAGTCTAGCCTGACAAGCGTGGCTCTATCGTGGCCTGTGGACTTCAGTTCTTGAATGTGCTTGCATGTGTTAAGAGCCTCTGTGTGGATTGTTAAAATTTCTGTTTGTTATTCTATTGTGTATCTTAGCAGAAAATGATAAAAGCTTCCTGATTGGATTTCAGGCTCACAGATCTTCCTATGAAGTCCAGCTAAGCAGATGGCAGAGCACTTCCTTTTATCCTTTTACTCAGGTCTCTGCAGCCATTTAATACCACATGCGAGAGTCCTGTTAGATGTTGCAAGAAGAGGGGAGTGAGACTTGGTCAGTACTGTATTAGTAAATATGGTGAGTTGGTATCAAATGTGTACAGCATTCAGAGGATGGGAAGTACAATTTGAACAGAAAAGGCATTGCAGCTGTTCCTGTCAAGATTATAGTAGAGAAAATACGTTGATGTTCAAACAGGATTTATCGTGCATTAGAAATGAAATGATAGTTGGGGCAGGCTATTCTTTCTTGCTGTTGGGCAGCAGCAAGAGAACATTGTTTTGCTGAAGGTAAAAGCAAGGCAGAGGAGACCTCTCCAGTGAAGGGCATAGTCCCACAGTACCTGAGCAAGGAGGGCAAAGCAGATCTGGTGCCCAGGGTCAGCCAAGAGTCTGTTCCTCATCAGGCAAGTCTGCAGTGATGAGGAAGGGCTGAGGTCAAGCCAGGAAGCCAACGCAGCAGGTCAGTATCAGTGGGGTACACGGTCAGGTACAGATGTGCCTTTACTATAGCTCAGGCCAGGCACGAGGGCTTGAGCGAAGTGGGGAGGCCCTCCTGGCTCTTTCTGACCCAGCTCTTTCCTGGCAGCCTGATCCCGGATTACAGCAGAGCTGTATCAGAGCTGGCTCGAGCACAGGCAGCCAGACCCCGCTGAGGGGGAGAGGCAGCAGATCCCAATGGTGCGCTTGGGGCTCTCACATGCACTGAGGAAGTTGACAAATTGCTTGGACATAGCTGTTGCCCAAGACAAACTGCAAAAGGCTTAGGAAGGTTTTGGAAGGCTCCGGTAATGACCTCATCTTTCTGCGTATGGACATCCTCATTCTTGGTGAAACTGAGTTTTCTGGGTTTGGTCAGTGAAAATGAAACTAAACAATGTAAATAGGGACATATGCACCAGATCCTTGCTGTTCCCCTTTTGAGTAATGTAAAATAATATTGCAGCCAGGTTTATCTGCTTGTTTTCATAACTCAACCTCATTGAGCACGTATACCTAAACCTTGCTGTCTAGGTAAGAAAAGGAGTCAGTGGTGTTTTTATTAATAATTAGACTTTTAGCTAACTAATTCGTAGAGTATTGATTGCCACAATTAAACATTTCCATTTACTTAGTCAGCAGTGTTGTGGTGGTCAGTTCTGTTGCTGAAGGTACCACTTTTGGCTGGGCCAAATCAAAGATCTTTGTTCTAGCAGTTCTGTAACGAGTATAGGAAATATTTTCTTTGTGTACGCATTAAATTCAAAGTGAGGCATTGATAGAAGTCACTACCGGTTTGGTTTGTTTTCTTCATTTGCTACTAAAGTCCATTGCTGCTGAAATCCCCTAGAGCAATGTATGATTTTGGATTTCAGTTGATGTTTTCAGCCCGAGACTTGTTCTGTTTCATAGGCCTTAGGACAGCCTATTGTTTTCTGCTGAACTGTGTTAAAGCTTGCTTGTAATCTCATGCTAAAACATACATTATCTTAAACAAAAAATGCAGGCTACTCTGACCTGAAAGTTAAGGAGCTCTATGACGGTATCAGAGAGTATTTTTCTTAGATATGTATTATTAGATTTTTTTTTGAACTTTGGAAGAAGCTGCTATAAGCTCTAAGGATGGATGTCTCATAGATGCCTGTGTTAATGCATAAAGTTTTGGGAACTGGCATAGCTGAATAAAATGGTGGCAGAGCAGCCTTTTTATTTAGCTGACTTAGTGTTGGAGTCTGCCTGTGTTCCCATTTGTGCTTTTCAGCAGCGTGCTACAAAAACTTATCCTTTGTCAGCCCTTTCTTAATCCCATTGTATTTGCTGATTTCCCCAGCCCTGCATTTTGATGGAAGCTAATCTTAGCATATCTGCGTAGCTGAGTGTGAATCTTTTATCCTTGTATACACATTTCCTCTCCGATCCTCAACCTTCTTAATCACCCCGAGTACTCAGGAGCAGCTCTTGGCTTTGCATGTGTGTGTGGGGGAGGCAGCTAGCCTGCCATGTGAGAAATCAAGTGCTGCCTTCTGTCTTTCACACCTCTAAGCTACTGACTCATCATTTCATTCTCTATGCATATATATGCATAATGCACACATAATGCAGTTAAATTATTATCCTCGTGGAGACACCTGCCATCAGACAGTGTCCTTTTAATTTACACTTCTGTGCCTGTGTATAGCAGCAACCCACAGTGCTTAACATCAAGCATCTGGTTTGATCCAGTATGGAAATTCCCAAGCCCATTGATCACTAGCTTCTGCATTACCCAGAGATAAGTTATGGATGAATCAGGAGTGCTAATTTGATTGTTACTCTTTTTTCCAGCCATTCAATTTTCTTTCATCATTAACCAGCAGTTTCTTTCCTGGAGAAAGGAGACTGGATACAATGCAGGCACTCAGATAAACGCTGATGGGAACAATAACCAGACTTCTTTTCAGTTAGTTAATTTAAAGGTGTGTTCAGCAGAGTCTAATTTGGGCAGAAAAATCCTGTTCTGTCCTGGCTAGGAAGGACTAGGACTACTGCCTAAATCTGGCCAACTAATCACGTGGCGTAAGCTGGTCCGCCCCATTACTCTGTGTCAGCAAAGAGTCTTGGGTGGTGGGATTGACAAGGTACACTATTGTGTACACCACTATTCCTTGTGGTGGCATAGCCTTAACCTAATCTTTTTGTAGTTAGAAACTGTGCCATTCCAGAAGGCTCTTTGAGATCTGCTTTAGGGTTGTTTTTAGTGGGAGTTGCCTTTGAGGAAAGCCTACAGGCATAACAAAGGGGTTCTGCTTTCCAAAAGGAGGTCCTGTCGTGGACATAGACCATCTCTTGTGATCTGTAGTTCTGTGAAATGGGTTTTTATTTGAAGAATGCTTGTTCTGTGCTTAGATGCTCTGACTGACAGCCTGGTCAAGACAAACTGTCCAAAATTATTACAGTAGCATGTGTCTTAATAGGGCTCTTATTTTTTCTTTTTTTCTCCCAGGGGTTGGTTTGACATAGCTTGAAACCCCTAATGCACAATAAAATCCATTTGGCTTGCTTAGCAAGAGCTAGATTCTACAGGGGCATTTTTGTCACCACCTTTCTTCATCACTTGGTAGAGGGATTAAATTACTTACCCTCTGGCCTTAGCTGCTAAGGACTATGGAAGTAAGCCAATTAGGTAAATTAATCTTTAGCCAAGGTTTCTGGGTATTTTTGTAGGGGTACCATTAAACTTAGTTTGCGTGTGCTGCTGTGGGGAGAGCTTAGCTGCATTGTTCGTGAGGAACTTGGCAGAGTGTTGAAAATGGTTGTCAAACCCCACAAGGTAAATTTGGGTTGTGAGGGACAAGAGTGGGTGGAGGAGAGCGGGAGGCAGTATAACAGCAGAAGGATTTGTCAGAGGTGTCAGAAAAGGAGAACGGTGATGGATATAAAAAAGATGGAGTAGGGATAAAAAACCGAAGGCATTTAAGGTGCAGAGGCTGAACAGGAGCAAGCAGCAAAACCCAGAGGGGAGACCCAGCTGGATCTGTGTAACTAAGATATGAGGAAGAGGTAATGGTCTGAAACATCTGAATATGATGATCAAGGAGAGGTGTGGGGGGAATGGGAAAACAGGCTAAGATAATTCGAACCGCTGCAAAGAGACTGGTTTCCCTGTGGTTAGAAAGTGCATTTCACATAATAATGAGAGGAAAAGATGTGAGGTTTTTTTTTTAATTCTTTCCTTCAAGCATGCTGCAAAATACATTGAGCAATGGCAAAGCGAAGTTAGATTTCTTTTTAACTCTTAGTGTGAACAAAGTGAGGTAGTGACAGCCCACAAATGCCAGTGTACCAGTGAAGCTGGTAATAGATGAGATGTATTGTGACTTTCAGTATAACTCCAACAGCCAGTGCACTCACTGAATAATTCATAACCATCTGATATTTTGCTCAGTATGCTTTAATTGCTCTAAGTGATGGTTTTCTTTTGAAGTGGGAAGAGGCAATAATTTCCTGTATTTTCTTTATTTTTGCAGTGATTGGTATGTCACTGGTGCTGATTATTCTTTTTAATAATTGTTCATATAATATGTGGCAGAAATTCAAATATGCTCCAAACATGCAAAATGGCGTCTCAGTTACGTGTGTGGTGTGTTTAGTGTGCACTGATCTGTTTATTTAGTCTGACTGCTGAAAATAGAGTTGGGTTCAATTCTTCTTATTTAACACTGATTTCAGTCATAACGTGACAGTGAAGCCTGGGGTGTAGGCAGACGTCTCTGGAAAGTGAGGTATGAGATGTGTCATCTTGGTCCATCCCTACAGAACAGCAGAAGGGCTCGGGGCAATACTGCATTCCCGTTCTCTCGAGTTAGTAGCATACATGGCGCAAAGCGTGATCTGTCAGCATTGTCGTTCTGCCGTGCAGAGGGGTGTTGCACTTAAGCCGTGACAAAGCTGACATCTGCTCAGGGATGTGAGGGATAAAGGAAAGGTACCTGAACTTTCATAAGGAAGGACATCAGATAGCTAGAATGATGCACGCGGAGCTGGGAAGATAGTATCTTTTTCCTACTTTGTGCCAGAAACTTGGTTTATATATTCTCAAGTTGTTCCTCATCGCTAAAGTTACAATCTTGACTTTATTTTCTTCCTTTTTTGGTAGGCTGATAGTCGTGCATACTTCGATTGTTTTGACTTTTTCCTGATTGGTCTGATAATCCCAATTGCCCTCTGCAGTTCTTAGTCTGCCGTTCTAGGGAAAGTGAAACATGTCAGGGAAGGTAGATTGAGTCAGAAGCCTCCATAATTCAAAAATAACTGAAGAGGTGATGATTAAATGGATATTCTGTGAACCTGAAAGATACTCGTGGTAGGCTGCAGGCCATTTTAAGTTACTGAAATCTGTGTGACAGTTTAGTGTGTTCAGATATCGCAGTGATGAGAGACCCTATCAAAAATGTAGGGAGAAGAACAGAGAAGTTTGGTTAAATCATGCAACTGGAATTCTTTGCAGTGGAAATCCATCTCCAGCTCTGTCAAAGAAAAGTCAAGTGACAATGGGCAAGTCAGCTAACCTTCTCTGCTTTGAGTCACTCTTTAGGAAATGGGGCTAATATTCCTCTACCATGTAAGGCTATTATGAGGTTCAGCTAATAAATATGTATGTGTAGCTGGATATTACAATGGTGTGTCATAGAAAGCATATAAAAATAGGTATAAATATAAGCCTGTTGCAAGTTGGGATTTGTTTACTTCTAGGTACGCTTTGGTTTGAGACGGATTCCTCTTTCATGTGATCACGTGTTTGTTTCCACGTTCCACCATGGAGCTATGGGCACTGCTGGTTTTGCGCTCGTAATCGGTGCGAGCCTAGAGCTTTGGCTGACAGCTGGTGATAGATTAGTTGATGATGGTCCTGTCTTATGGCTTCCTCCACTGCAGGTGTACCAGTACTCGACCAGGAGAGACCGGAATGGATGTGACTAGCCGTTGCACACTCGGAGATCCTAACAAACTGCCAGAAGGGGTGCCGCAGCCTGCTCGCATGCCCTACATCTCTGACAAGCACCCTCGACAAACTTTGGAAGTCATCAATCTTCTCCGGAAGCACCGGGAGTTGTGCGATGTGGTGCTAGTAGTTGGTGCGAAGAAGATCTATGCCCACAGGGTAATTTTGTCAGCCTGCAGCCCTTACTTCCGAGCCATGTTCACTGGGGAGCTGGCAGAGAGTCGGCAGACAGAAGTAGTGATCAGAGACATCGATGAAAGGGCCATGGAACTGCTGATTGACTTTGCGTACACCTCTCAGATCACTGTGGAAGAGGGAAATGTCCAGACCTTGTTGCCAGCTGCTTGCCTTCTCCAGCTGGCTGAGATCCAGGAGGCCTGCTGCGAGTTCCTTAAGAGACAGTTGGACCCTTCCAATTGCCTGGGCATCCGAGCTTTTGCTGACACTCACTCATGCCGTGAACTACTGAGGATTGCTGACAAGTTCACACAGCATAACTTCCAGGAGGTAAGAAGCTAGTATGCTGGAATCATGGTGTAAAACTTATGAACGTGTCCTGTGAGAGCCTGGGCAACTCTCATTTTGTGCTCTTTCCAAATCCTGCCTTTGCATCTGCTGTGTGCCCTAATAGTGGTGGGTGTGAGCCGTTAGTTGGGGAAGAAAGAGGGAAGAGGTACTTGCAGGACTGCGTTGCACTGGTGGTTTGTATATGATCCGCAGCATTTCTTCTCTTAGAGTTGTGTGGCGAGTGCTACGTGGAAGGCAAGGTTGCAGGCATAGTTGGAGTTTGGTATTATATCTGACATGGCTGCACAATGGTGTGACACTCCACTCCCCTTTCAGAAATGTTCTGGATTCTACAGGCTTGAAGGGGAGACGGGTGTTAAAGTAAGGAAAATACATCAACAGAACCAAGGAAAAAATTGGTGTTGAGTTTAGGGATTGGAAATGTGGGTGTATGGGGGAGCATACAGCTGCCTCAGTGGAGTCTTCAACTCCCTTGCTGTAGCAGAACTAGGGTTTAGCATCTGTTATTCACCAGAAGTTGTTTGAAAGTAATTCAAACGTGTGATTTTGTAGCTGACCTTTATAAACCCAAGTCTCTTTTCCTTTGTTAATTCTGCCTACATGATTTTTGGGGAAAAAAAATTGCCAGCAACTGGTTCAGGGAAGGATCAGCATTATAATTAAGGATTCTGTGAGCAATTGTCTGAGAAGAGCGGGTCTTTACTTAACTGTTACACCCAGATGCAGAAAGGAGCCCAACACTTTTTAAGTGGTGTCTTTCCTGAGCCCTGGTTGGAAGGGCAAGAATTTGCATGTGTTTTGGAAGCAGCTGCTCTCTAGGAGTGTGCTCAGCATGAAGGTCTGTTCCCCTGCTAGAGAGATTCGTCTCTTGCCTTTTCAAGAAACTGCACTCAGGTAGCAGGTAGCCTGCTGTGGAGAAAAGTCCTCTTTCCGCCTGCTTCACAGTAGATCCTTTCCAAAGGGAATAACTCCAGTATTGACTCCTGATGCTAATTTAGTTTCCCCAGAGAAGTGGCAGTATGTAAGTGCTGTGATTGATTGCAGCTTGCTGACTTTTTTTCCTTGCAGGAAATAGATTGGAATTGGATTAATTTCAGTCAGGTAGTACTTAGGAAAGTTATGAGCAGAAGCAAACACAATTGAGCTTGACTGTTGGACACATTGAAGACAATACTTTGTATTTAACTGGAGACACATGACGTCAGTTTACTTTAGAAGTTGCAGTTAAATACGTCTTCCTAACCACGAAGACTAGAAAATAGAATTTGCTGTTTAAGATGAGAGCTTGTTTTTTGTAGAACTTGGTGATTTCCCAAAAGCCCTACCTTTTAGCTGGCCATTTCATGTGCTCTGTGCTTGCTCTGCATTTCTTTTCTTCTGCATTTTTTTTTTGGGAGCAGGATGGTAACCAGATGGTCGTTTATTTTCAGTGCTTGGTCGTTTTAATGGTTAGAACTGTGCTTCTCTCGTTATTACATGAGTAGGGCATGCTTACAAGCCTCTAAATAACTTCTTAACAGCATAACAATTTTGTTTTTAAATGTTTTAGCATTAATACATGCAGCTGGCTGTTAAGAGCTGCCTGCTATGGGGTTCTTTTCTTCTGCAGCCCCTGGAAGACAGCTTCCTGTCTTCCTGATCCCTGTTAAAGCACACAAAGGCAAAAGTTTTGGACTCAAGAAAACACTCTCCTCCTCAAAGATGATGCAAATTATAATTGACTTAACTGAATCACGGCTTCTGGAAAACAATTGCTTGGATTAGAGCACTCTTTCTTTGGCCTGGGCAGGTTTTGGTGTCCCTTTCAGTGCCCTGGGAATTTTGCAGCTCTTCGTCCTTAGTGATCACTTGTTTTGCTTCCACTGTTTCTCTGCAGACAATCTTAATGGTGCTGGTTGTTGGGATTGTATTCTGTTCTACCATTATTTTCCATCTGGAGATTGGATTGGTAATCCCTAATGGAAGCCAGTGACTTGGCTACTTAATAATCCTCCACTGTGGAGGTTGAGAACTGATGAAAAATATGCCCTCCTCTGCAGAGGCTGTATTGTCATCGTTCCTCCGAGCTGGCAAAAAAAAAATGTGAGATGAGAATTTCCTGAATGGCAATGTAAAATATTAAGCACTAGGCATCAAGCCAACCCATGCAGTTACTTTGAATGCAGTCTGAATTGCTTCAAGTCCTCTGCTGTGCTAACCTCTAGTTCTATTAATTTTTATGTGTATTGCTGCATTACATCATTAACTTCTTGGTAAAATGTTTTTCCAAGTTTTCCATTCCCCTCAATTTAATTTCATGCCTAAAACCCCTAGTGAATCTTGTGCATGTAATGTGAAATGGTTCTATTAACAGCTCTGCTGTACAAGGACAGCCTTTGTATTTTTTTGTTTGGTCTCTGACATCTGTGTGAAGGGAAAAAATACACTTAAGGATGAACAACTTGTACTTTCTATCAACAGACAAAAATTGCACTCCATATTGTATAATCTGACATTTATTCTATCTGTTTGTAAATGCAGTAATGCACATGAATACTGTAGAGGAAATGAAGCCCATCCAGTTCTTGTTTAGTAAGCAAGTCAGTCAAATAGACCATTAATATTAGTCACATAATTATTAGTGTCCTGATAATTCAGCCAAAATAAGCCAAAGCGTTTTAAATAATTATTTGTTTTACTATGTAAACTAACAAGTTGCATAGTAGTAATAACTTGGTTTGCCATCGATGCAGCTGGGTTTTCTGAGGGTGGAAGGGAGAGTCTGGATGACCATCCTTAACTCATAAATTTCCAGAGCCTCTGTATTCAGAGTCTGAGGCTGTATTTACAAACTGTCGGGGTAAAGTTTAGATATAAGCTAGTCTATGTAGAAGGGAGGGAGACTACGGAAAAATACTGATAAAGATCTTTAATGACCAGCCCAGTTCTTACTCTAAGGCTGAAGAAGTGTGTGAGCTATGGCTCTTACTGCCCCTGAAAGTCCACAGGATCCTAGACCAAAGGCTGGTAACGGATCTCACTGTCTGTTGTGTTCCTTTTAACTATATTTGCTGTTGTCAGTACTTGGCAATTTTTGTATATTCATTCAGTGCTCTTAATTAATTTCTTCAGGTAATTAAAAGGACTGCACAGCTCACTGCTGTTGAGGTGATGGTGTCAAAGAATGTATTTTTCTTTCATTTATGCTGCAAATCATAAAATAAGTCCTGGAATTCTAATGTGGTCGCAAATGATGAGGACAAGACGATATTCAGTTATTTTCTGTCATTGAACCTCTTGGATTACAGACTGGGAGTGCTTGTAGGGAAGCCGAGCTGGCAGTTATCAATCAAACCATTTCTGCAGTTCTCTTTATTTTGATTCTTGCATCTTTCCCATCTACCTGGCTTCAGTGCAGAATCCGTGGCTGTGCGTGAGCTCTGTAACGTCTCAAGGCAGTCGCAGGCTGACTCGCATGTGCTCTGTGGTGTGTTGTGTGAGCAGTCCTCCAGTGGCAGCTAAAGCCTCCTGAGAAACTTGGTTGCTATCTTGGGTACTGAAGGAATGAACATGTTTGCAGATTGTCAGTGGCTTGAATTTCACGAGAGATCAGTCCTTAGGGCCTTAGGGAGGCTCTGATTCCCTCTTAAGTGCATCTGGACTTGTGCAAACTCTATGTATATATTTAGAGCAAATGAAAGAGGCGGAATCAAGTAAGTTCATCGCCCTCTCCTGAAATATTTTCTGTTCTGCCACAAATTGGCATTCAGGAAGACTTTCCATGTTCTCTACAATGCCTCTGGTAACTTGTTTCTGAGACTCTTACTTTTGTGCTCTGTTTTGGATTTCTTGTGAATAGAGCCTCTCTATTCCGATACCACTTTTCAGTCACGTGTTTATCACCTATGCAGCATTTTTAAATCTGCTTTATATATTAGACACAGCAAACAAGGTGACTGATTTTAAAGAAGGGCTTTGCTTTTCCTAGATTTTGAAACCTGATCAGTGTGTTCTGTGGTTTGACCCTTTAAAAGTGTCCTACAAAAAACCTTTGTGTAAAATTCCCTTTCACTTGCATCCCCATCTAAAGGTGTCTGTGTTGTGTTGCTAGGGACTGCATTCTGCTCTGTGCAGCAAACTTCATGTGTGTTGATGTCAAAACAGTGATGGGTATTTTGCACTTTACTGGATCAGTCCGTCAGACTCTAATTAAAGCGGACTGTATCCACTTTAGAGTTGCACTGAAGTGCTGAAGTGGTGAATGGCCATAGTGCTTTGGCCACTGTCCTTACTTTTTTTTTTTTTTCCCTTTCCATTTACCCAGGTGATGGAGAGTGAGGAGTTCATGCTGCTTCCTGCCAATCAGCTCATAGACATTATATCAAGTGATGAGTTAAATGTTCGCAGCGAAGAGCAGGTGTTCAATGCGGTGATGGCCTGGGTGAAATACAGCATTCAGGAAAGACGACCCCAGCTACCACAGGTAATCTCGAGCGCAGTAACATTCGAGACCGCTTTATCCAGGGGAAGAGTAATGAGGGCTGATATGGTGGTGCCACAGCAGTGTCACAGTTCTGAATGCATGCAAAGCCACAGTAATTCTCTCTGACTTCCACCTGTGCTAGGTGGCTTGCACTTTCCCTTCATCTAGGCTGGAAGGTGCGGTGGCTAGAGCCTTTAATAGGGGCTTTGTTGAATTTTTTCCAGGTAGGACTTGCCAAACTAGATCATTCCAGTAGTCTGTCCAGACAAACCTGCCTGCATTGCTTGAGTGTTGTATAAAAAACGTAGTGGATAAGAAAAAGCTTGTCTTCGTTTGTAGTGTATCTTTAAGCTCTGCTGTTTGATTTATGCCTCAGCCCTCATGATCTTATACTGGAGCTTGTCAGAATGGTTTTGTTGAAATTCGATGCTTCATCTAAGCCAAGCCATTTCACAGAAGCACCCATTCTGACAAAGCTGTCAGCCGGAAAGCCTCTGAAGTCTCAGGCTTTCTGATCAAAAGAGGTGAGAGTTTGCCTGCCTCAGTGTTTCTGCTTTGGAAATAGACATTAAATGCAACTTTATTTCGTGGAAAGCTTTTGAAAATTGTTTTAAATAAACAAACCAAACCAGAAAAACCTGCTGTTCTGAAGGTAGCTCTTAATGCTCTTACAACTGTTTGCCTTTTTAGGCCCCTCTGTCTATACCTGCATGCACCTCTAAATTCTAGGCCATTATGAAAGGCAATGTTATTTGTTATTGTTCATATACTGCACAATACCAGTCACATTTAAGAGAGCTAAATGGTTGATGAAACTTCTAACTAAACTAGTATTTCTAGCAGACGTATTCACATCTGTAATTTTATAAAGGTTTTCAGTTGTGACCTTGTTTTCATCTGTTAATAGATCCAGTGGATTGTCTCCTTTCAAATACTGATTTTCTGCTGGGTATCTAAATTGATATGTTGAAAAGGCAAACGTGCTGCAAGATGAGCTGCATTTAACTGAAAAGCCAGGATTTGGCTGTGTAAATGACTGTGCATGTTTGCCAGAGGAATTACCAACTCTTTATCAAAACTTATTGGCTACTATGGTTTTCCATTTGGCTTCTTGCATCTCTGTGGGTATATGTGGTTTACCATGTATATTCTGGTTTGTGTTTCAGGTCCTGCAGCATGTCCGTCTGCCGCTGCTGAGTCCCAAGTTTCTTGTGGGTACAGTGGGCTCTGATCCACTTATTAAGAGCGATGAGCAATGCCGGTAAATCTCCTCACTGATTTACAGAATTGGATTTCGTTGTATTTGGGTGCCTTATTTGCATCTGTTCTCTAAAACTGTGCTGATTTTTCAGTGGTAAATGGGTGATAGTTCACAATTTCCTTTTTTGCAACTGGGAGGACAAATGATGCAAGAAAGCATGTTTTCTATTTAGATAATAGTCAACAGTGTGCCCTGGAAGTGTTTTTGTTCTTTCAAGTTTTCAGTGAAATAGCAACCTTTGAGTGCACAGTCTGACTGTTGGTAAAATACCCTTCAGTGTATAATTTTCCATTTCATCTTTTTTGTTTCTTTAGTCATGGCCTTTCATTACAGCTTACCACTTGCATGGCATTCATTATCTCATTATGACTTAAAGTAGTTTCTCTATGTAATAAATGTGTACTTTGATAACTGAATTGGACTCTGGGATTAGTGTCTGCTATTTCCCACAATGCTAGGGCGGGGAAACTTGTTTCCTTCTCTCATGGTATGAGTCTCACCTTTCTAGTTCTACGGAGTTCTGTATCATCTATAAAGCAAGCAATTTTTGTGCTTAATGCAAAAAAGTTCAGGGGATAGGCTAAACTGTTCTCTTCCTGAATAAGCGTTCATAGTGGGGGAATTCCACATTTGTAGAGGGAAGGAGGACTTTTTTTCTTTTTTGGTTTGTTCAAGGGTTTGGAATATTAGGATTAGTCCAGGTGAAAAGTCATGAATGGATGGACAGTGTGAGCTGGCCAGAGCTGATGGAGAAAATATTCATCAGAAGGGTACTATCTCCATCTATTGGTCATGTGTGTATGATGTATTTGTGTGCTTTTTCAACTCCTGATTTATTCTTAGACAAAACAACTGATTGTTAAGTTTTAGTTTGAGGCAGTCTGGGTTTTTCTTTTTTGCATAGTAAGCTTGACAAATCTCTTGTCACAGTTTTTTATCAGTCTTTATAGCAAGCAATATCTATTATTAACTCTGGCCAAATATTGATACTGGTCTACTGCTGTCACTGTGTAAATGACTTGTAAACAAGTGATGAGTATTTAGGTGACAGCGTACGTTTTAACTAGAGCTGTTCACGCATTTACGTGATGAAGTGCATGACAAGTGCTGGCTGCTCTTGCCATCAGTATTGATTCATACCTTCTCCTGAGACTGGTATCAGGTGAACTTGGGGGATTAATATTTTCCTGTCTTGCACAGGGATCTAGTGGATGAAGCTAAAAACTATCTGCTGTTGCCGCAAGAGCGGCCACTGATGCAAGGACCAAGAACTAGACCACGCAAACCCATACGCTGTGGAGAAGTGCTCTTTGCAGGTATGTATGGCTCCTGCTGGCTTAGGTCAGGAGATTCAAGTCTGGATTTTCTGGTGATAGTGCTTCCATAAGGCAAGTCTTCACAACATATTTCTGAAGTGACCTTTGCATTAATGTTTGGAGATTTGAGTTAACTTACACTTTTTTACTTGTGTGATTTCTTTGGTGCTATGAATGCCACAGTACTTCCAAACTTACGCTAATCTCTTGAAAAGCACATTCTGTCTTCTAACTATAATCCTCAGAATGAGTAACTTGGAGGTGGGTCTACTGGGCTAAGGCTGACAAAGTCCGGAGGGATTATTTGTACCAGGCACACATACAGTATGTGAGCTCAGTGCGTTATTATGATGCTATTTCTTGTGTTTGGTTCCTACAGTGGGGGGCTGGTGTAGTGGGGATGCAATTTCCAGTGTTGAGCGCTATGACCCTCAAACCAATGAGTGGCGGATGGTGGCTTCCATGAGCAAAAGACGCTGTGGCGTTGGAGTCAGTGTTCTGGATGATCTCCTCTATGCTGTGGGAGGCCATGATGGTTCCTCTTATCTTAACAGTGTAGAAAGGTAGGTCTCCATAAGGCCAATGTGCAAAATGTTAACTCTGAATGTTTAAACCTGGGTGCAGCCTCTTAAAAATGAGTTCATTTTGCCAGCTGTGTTCTTGTTCTGCTGAAAACCTGAAATTTATATTACATGTTATCTACATTTCCTCCTCCCTTGCATACCCCTCCAGTATTGTGTTGGTTTACTGCTGAAATAGGCTTTCATGCATGACAGCTTGTGTCATGTTATCCCCAGCTTAATGAGATAAGACATAGCCTTTGGTATAAAGAAGGCATATGTAAGAGATGGGTCTGGGTGTAATTGATGGGAGGAGTGATGATCCTGGTTAAGCTTCTTTGCAATTGCTGGTTTGTTTTTAGCATTGTTGTGGAAGGTGAGGTTACAGTAGCATTTCTTAGATGTTGAGGGGAAGATCTTGGAATTTTATTGTGGAGTGGCAACTAGAGAATTAAGGAACCTTGGCACTTATACAGAAGAAGGAAAATAAGGCAGTTTTAGACCTGTGAAAGACATAAATCAAACAAGCTTTGCCAGGCTTCCTGTTTCTGGGAGCTGCATATGGCAATCCCCATGCCTAAAAGCCATGTGACTCAAGCACTCCTAGTACTCTAAATCTGGGCCCTGTAACAAATCCAATGAGCTATACAAATATCTCCTTTCTCCTCGAGCCTCCCCTTCTTCCCATGTATATCCTCGCGTACTCCCAGCTTCCCACGTCATGACTCTAGCCTTACATCTCCCATGTCCTGGACTCTGCTGCTATGCACCATATCTCCTTGTCTCTGGATTTCCAAGTCCATCAGGTTCCTTCATCTTTTATCTTGAAGTGCAGGTTCCAGTGCTGGCTGAGTTCTTGTGTGAACTGCAGAGAACATACAGCAGAGTAACTCTGGCTGCTGCTTTTTGCATAGATGCAAGTTACCACATGTCAGCCAGTCCCTGGTAACGTGCTGTCTTATGAACCTGAACCTTTGATCTTCAGTGTGAATCATCTCAAGCTGTAGTTTGAACATCCCTGGAATAACATGTATTTGGATGCATTATATCACTTCAGGGGTTTTATCCAACTTAAAAATAGCTGTGTTGCAGTTTAAGCTCAAGATAGGCAAGTTTCACTGCCGTAGTAGTTCCCAAGCATGGGGGAGTCTGAAGCATACCTAGTCAAGCAATTGTGCTGTTCGGTGTGTTTTTCTAGGTATGATCCAAAGACCAATCAGTGGAGCAGTGATGTGGCCCCCACCAGCACCTGCAGGACCAGTGTTGGAGTAGCAGTTCTTGGAGGCTACCTCTACGCTGTGGGTGGCCAGGATGGTGTCTCTTGTCTCAACATTGTGGAAAGGTACTTTTTAATTAAAAAAAAAAAACAAAAAAAGGGGGGGGTGGAGGGGTGGGCACAGGGCGAAGAGGGTCTCTTAGAAAGTGCAGTTGATGCAGATGAGCTGGAGAGGAGGTAAGTACTGTACAAATCTTACGAGGATTTTTGTTTGGAGAGAATAAGGTCAGTGTTCCTGCCCCTTTGTGAAGATGTTGACACTTCACTAAGCTTTGGTGTTTATTCTTTTGCCAGGTATGATCCCAAAGAAAACAAATGGACTCGAGTGGCTTCCATGAGCACCAGGCGCCTGGGAGTTGCAGTGGCTGTGCTAGGGGGCTTCCTCTATGCTGTGGGAGGCTCTGATGGCACTTCTCCTCTCAATACTGGTATGACTTTTGCTGTCCCTTATTGCAGTCAGCGCTTGTCACTGTCCTGTTTGTCCTTAGTGTCCCCAGATGACTGTTGAATAAATTAGTCATCAGTTTGCTGTGTTTTTTCTCCTTTAAATGTGATTTTTACCATACGGTAATTCACTCTGTAGACTTGTGAGCCCCTATTACCTGGTTGTGTGTGGTTTTTTTTCTTTCTCAATGCTGCATTTGGCAGTGTGTCCTGAATAAAATACTTTGATCGTTTGCATAACAGTTGCAAGTGCATCTTTTTTCCTGCAGTAGCCCTTTTCTACTGTAGGAAGGAAGGTGCCAAAGGTAAAACTACTGCAAGACAGTAATGCAGGTCAGTTTGTAGCATTGCCAGCTCCCTCTTGAGTGAAGATGCTGAATGTGATTGACTGTGTAGGACTGGAGAGAGAATAGCAAGCCTTCTATAGAAGAAAAGCATTAGAGTGAGAGATAACAAAGTGGTTCATCCTATTTTTGGCATGTAGAAATTGCTATGTCTTTACAGACTGAGCAATACTTTGGATGCAGGTTCAAAAGAGCTAACCCCCACTGCCTGCCAACCTTGTTGTCCAAAGATGTGTCATTTCCTCTGCAGTGGAACGCTACAATCCCCAGGAGAACCGCTGGCACACAATTGCACCCATGGGGACGAGGAGGAAGCACCTGGGCTGTGCTGTATACCAAGACATGATATATGCTGTGGGAGGCAGAGACGATACGACAGAGCTCAGTAGTGCTGAGAGATACAACCCTCGAACCAACCAGTGGTCTCCTGTTGTGGCCATGACATCCCGCCGAAGTGGAGTGAGTTTGGCTTGAATTGCTTGCTTATACTATACATAATCACGTGGTGAGAGCACAGGGTAGTGTCATCTTGGGAGGTTTCTCTCGTGCTTCCTCTGTACCTTCACCTCTCTTCTTCTGTGAGGGGAAAGGTTTGCAAAAAGTCAAAGCTCTTTAGTAAGACTAGGGAATGAAGTGGTAGTCATGTCATGCCATAGACAGCTGTTTAATATGCCTGAGGATGGGGAAATGGGGTTATTTGAGGGTCTTTTTTAATAGTTTTGGTCCCTTATACGGAGTCAACTACTTAGGCCTGAAACAGAGGAGTTATTTAGTTTTTTACTTGGCAAAGTAACCATACTTGGCATGAGATGCTGTTAGAGAACAGTATCAAAATTAATACTTGGGTCTCATCCTGCAATGCACTTTGGATGAATTAGGAGGTGAATGTACCTACTTGCCCAGAGGAAGGAGCTGGGAATCTGGGCAAGCATGTGTTTAGACACAAACTTCCAGCAAAGTCTTTTTCATTGCCTTGAGATGTGTGGGAACAGGGTTTCTGGGCTTTCACTTAGAATGTTGCCTGTCTTCACCGAATCCTGTGAATATGGGGAGTGACAGCATGTTCTCATCAACTGCTAATCTTTCTGCTTTCTGTAGCATGTGAAAAAAAGATTAACATAGTGTTTTAAGCAGTCATCGTGTTTAGGCAGATGCAAATGTTATGAATATTTATTATTGGATACTGGATTATGTAGTAAAGAGTGGATTAATTCTGTCTGTATGTTAGTATTTCAGTGTCTGGTGAGGCAAGTATGAATCATAATTTGAGCAACTACTGGTTTTGGAGGCAGAGAATATGTATTTATTTCCATCCTCAAAGCATATAGTACACTGTCCCAACACTCTCCTTTTTAGTTACTGATCAGGCATTGACTTTTCATGAGTTGCTTCTATATTTGCTTTCTGTAGAAACTGCTAAACAGATGCATCTGCATCTGCAGCCTTCCTGAGTTTTCTAACTTCCTCAAAGCCAAAACAAGGGCCACTTTACATTGTGTTCTTGTCGTCTTTTTTGTGTTATGCCACGAGTTGTTTTCACTGGAAGTGATCTTCCTAAACCACAGAACTGTTTGAGATTTCAGTGATTTTGTGCTTCAGCAGAAAGACAAAATAGAAAGGCTGGAGGCCAAGGTGCTTACAGATGGTCCAAGCCCCAGCCCAAGAGGAGTGGGCCAGGGGCTTACATATGGTTCTCCTAGTTTAAGCGAGCGTTCTAGGCTGTGGGCTGGTAGATACTCTGGTGCGTGCATCTCACGCTTGGTGAAGAATTTCAGTCCAGGACATAAAAAGTTTTGGCTGATAAAGGTTTAGGTTCTCATGTATCTATTATCATGCAAGCAGTTCTAGTTCTTGTAGCTGGTAATAAGGGGAATCTTCTGCTTTTTCTTTAAGAGAGTCTCTATTTTGAGATATATATTTAACTTTCCATGTCTTGTTATTTTTTAGGCCATTTTATTTGTCCTTCACCACTCCCCCTGCCCCTCCCCCCAAAAAAAACCAATCCAAACCTCTACTGCAGACTGTGTTTCACCAAACATGGTTATTAAATCCTTTTATTAGTATTTTCATTTTAACCTTTCTTTTCAGGACCTGTCTTTTCGGGACATCCCAGCTAAATAGCTACTACCTGTGATGGTTGTTTTGCAGGTTGGCCTCGCAGTGGTGAATGGACAGCTGATGGCAGTGGGGGGTTTTGATGGCACAACGTACTTGAAGACCATTGAGGTGTTTGATCCAGATGCTAACACATGGAGGTAACTGTTAAGTTTGTGAAACAATCAAATAGCGATCTCCAGCTATAGCTGCTGCCACCCAGCTGGAGCTGACCCAGCCAAATTAGAAATGTGATGTACACCATAGCGAAGAACTGGGGTGTGGTAGCCAGCATAATGTTCACATTGTGGCTTGCATGAATGTGTAAGAAAGGGAATCACATTTTGAAAAATATCCCAATATGCCATTTACCTATGGCATTCCATGTCTATGACTATGGGAGTAGTAGGCAGTTGAGAAACACTTTCTTGCAGATTTCTGCTTGAATTCCAGCCATTGGCTCCGTTTTAAGTAAAATGGGGAGTGAGTTTTCCATAGTTTTTTCCCGTCTGAATATCCCAACAGATTTAACCAACACTTAATAAATAAAGTCTCATTGCATCTTTTGCAGGTAGGAAAATGGTGTATAGGTAGGTTATCGAGACCCGGAGAAAATAAACGATTTAGCAGGCTTGTTGGGTAGCAAGCAAAATGTCATACCAAAACCTAGTTTGATTTTTAAGTGCTGCCTTTGAACCTAACAAAAATGGACCACATTGAGAGAGATATACCTCGTCTGTTTATTTTGGGCTGAGACTCTTCTGCTTCCCAATAAAATGAAGCTTGCCCTTAGCAGAAGGAGCTCATAGTCATGATGTAGAATTCGGCCTACTCATTTTTTGCTTGCAAGCTGAGGCTCTGATTTCCAGATCCTTTTGGAGGAGCTGAAACAGAACACTTTGAGCATATGATGTTCTTCCCCTTTAAATCTGCAAGACAGCAATTAGAAGAATTTCATCTGATTTACAAGCTGAGAAAAATAATATGAAATTGCCAATCAAAAAATGCGTACTGAGCAGAAAGGCTGTTTTTCCCATTTCTTGTCTAGTCATAACTACACTTGAAAGCAATTGCCTGTGTATTTATTCCCAAATCTAATTAGTATTAAATTTCAAGCTCCTATCTGTATTCTTGCTGCCTTAGTAATCTGGCAGGGGTGGGGAATAGAAATAAATTAATGTCCTTATTTTTTCTAGCCTAGTAATACTAGTAGATTAACCCTTTCCCTATGAGATAAGCTGTCATAAGAAGCAGTGGAGGAACTTCCCCTTGTTTGTTGAGTTATGGACAATGCCTTCTGAACTGCTGAGAAAACCAGTTGTGTAGAGTAATACCTACTTTGTATTCCTTAGCTGAATGGTTTCAGCTACTTCCAGTGACAGTAACAGTAACAAGATGTCTAGAGTTAGGAGTTACTGCCTGGGCTAGCATTCACAGAAGTTTAGGAGGTTGTTCAAGGTATTAGCATGTGGGTTTTTTTCTCCCACTGCATTCAATATCGCAGATCAACATCTGTGGTCTTCTCTTTCTTTTGTTTGCTGAACTTTTTGCTCTGTGAAGGATATTTTTATTTGTGTAGCCTGACCGAGAAATGCTTCCGATGCAATTTGGGTTTAACAAATTGCATTGGTAGGAGTTGTTTGAAGAACTTGCTTCTCCTGTTTCTGCCAGCAGACTTCAGTGGCACAGAGGGGAATATGCAGCTGAAGTGAGTAGGATGCTGGAGTCTATAGGGATCAGATTTCCATATGAAATGCAGGCACCATTTCAGTAACATATTTTGGAGAAACAGATGGTGCTTGGGATGTGTTATATCTTGGTTGGATCAGCTGAATTTAGGGTATTAGAAATATAAAAGAAATTAGTTGAATTGTGAGTAGCAAACCTATCCTTGCTCTTGTGTTACCCAAAACGTAGCCCAAGGTTAGCTATAGCCTGCAAAGTTCTTTTCTATCTTGCACATTACCAGACAGGGAGAAAGCAAGTGGTTACCGGAGTAACAGAAAACTGCGGTGTCAAAACGAGAAGCAGTTTTTGTTTTGAGAGAGAAAGGCATGAGCGGATACAGCTGTTTACCTTGGAGGTATATAAAATGACTGCTACCCAACTTACTTGTCATGGTTCGCTTTAACCAGAGGTTAACAATGGTGTAATTGTGCTTACAAGGACTGGTTCAGTTTTTCCCATGGTAGCTCCATGAAGGAGCTGAACCGGTGCGACCACTGAAACCTTGTCTTTGCAGGTTGTATGGTGGGATGAACTATCGGCGGCTGGGAGGAGGAGTAGGTGTTATCAAAATGACGCACTGTGAATCCCATATATGGTAAGCATCAAGAGGGAGGGAGACCCCTTGGTTCTCATTCCTAGAAAAACTGAAGAGACTTGTTGACACTGGACCTCTTTGCAGCTCTAGTATGAACGGTCTAGATCCAATGTAACTCTTTGCTGGTGACTCTTTCCATGGAATTATAAAAATTACTTCTATGAGAGTGTGCCCAATGGGAGACCACGTTGTCAGACTCCAGGGAACCACTGGACAAAAGTAGAAGTGTTGCTTATGTCCGTATTTTTTCTAAATAGTCTACATTTTTGAATAAACCAAACTGTAAAAGTTATTGTAGCGTAAACAATGCTGATGTAGAGACCACGTGCTATACTGGGAGTCTGGCAAGGAGGAGGGTTTCCTGCTTTGCCTCCAGCTTTGAGCAGTGGATGTGGCAGCTGTGTGGTGGGCGAAAGAGGAAAGTGATACAGAAAACATTGCTTTTGCCTTATTTACAGAGAGCTTCAAAAAAAGTACTTGACCTGCAAGGTGCCACCTTTGCACAGAAGCTTTTCTGTGCACAGAGTATATTTATTTTTTCATTTAATTTGTATCATGTATTTTCTTTGTATCGCTCACAGCGATAATTCCAGCTTTTTATATACATATATATGTGTGCATATATATATGTATTTTATATATATATATGTATATGTGCGGTTTGAGTTTTGACAAGCTGGTGGTTAGGGCAGGGCTATGTCCTGCCAGCTATTGTGGTTCCAACCCTTGTGGTATGTTTTAGGGTCTCTTAGAGTACAGGAGAGCTATGAGGATGGGTGCCCTGAGTATCTTTTCAGTCTTGCTGGAGGCAAGTAGAACTGGAACTCTCCATCTCTCGACTGAATCAGTGAAGTGCCCAAAAAGGGTGAGAGTGAAAAGGATTTCAGATGATGCCTTTTTACTGTACAGTGTATGGTACAAAAGTTCAGCTTTTGTCTCTCCCCTCCCCTGTATGTGAACCTAGAAACAACTAGTTGTTGCTTACTTACAAAAACCTTTTTCTCACATTGCCTGCTAGATACCAGTTCTTGTCTGAAGCTGTGATGCAGGTATCATCTGTTAATTCTGACTAGCCTAGATCAACACTCGCTTCTCAGGTTCTGGCTAGAATGGCAGACCTGCAGTCAGCTCCTGCTGCAAAAAACTT